TCCAAAATATTGAGTTCTGTTTAAAAATATGACGTATAATATTTAAACAGCCATTTTCTGTTCAAAATTCTCTTTCATAAATTCAGTGGTTCAAATTCAGCTGTTAAAATTTGACATTACATTGAGGCAAACAAAAATGTCCAAAACATCTTACTCATTTTACTCAATCATTTTACTACATATAATAGGGCTGTGCGATTTGGGGAAATATCTAATTGCAATTTTTTTGACAGACATTGCGATTTGATTTGTGATTTAATCTTGTAGTCAAGCTTCAGCTCAATAATCTGTATGGTATCTTACACTCTCAGAAAAAAAGGTATACGGTGGTACAAATAATATTCCTTATTTTTGTACCTTTGTAAAAGTTGCACCTTATATGGTATAGAAATACTTTGCCCTGTTAAACGTAATTTGGGAAATATTTGAAAATGAAAATATTATATATAATATATATAAAATTTGATGTTACGAAACACCAACATGTGTGGCTAAATATATATATAACATATATATAACATATATATATATATATATATATATATATATATATATATATATATATGTATATGTAGTTTTTATATTTACCTTTTTTAAGATTCAACACTTATTAAACCATTTTTAAGCAGGACTTTATTGTCCCCTTTGATTTAAAACAAAGCCTTGTTAAGACAAGTCATTTCACTCTGTGGTCATCTTTGAAATGCCTCTCGGGCAGTATGCTCGGGTATTCTGTCTGAATAGGAAAACACCAAATTCTCCAAAACTGTTTGCCAAGCTTACAATTACATTTATTACATATGTGGAATCACCAATAAAATTAAGCAACAACAGTCTCATAAGTTTAATTTCTAAACCTTTGTATCAAACAAAATCAGCAATTTTTTTTCAGGTTGCCCAAGTTAATGCGCTGTTGGAAAGAAAGACTCCAATCTCATTTATGGCCGTGTTACACATTATCATCCTCTGGATTATGCTTCGTCAGATCGCGCTGCTTTTCTGAGGTAATTCACAACTTGGTCTTGACAGTGACTAACAGCGACTCTTTGTTAACAAGTTTGTGGGCGTTTGAGTAGTTGCTGTCATGTGATGTGCGTTTGACAGGATGGACTGTACATTATGTTCTTTTCATACAGATTACAAAACCAAAAAAAATTAGTTTTTAGGTATAATGGGTTCATTTTAAAGTAGAAATTTCAAGCTCTATGTGGATATATTTCTTATGTCTGTTAAGCAAGTATTCGCTGAGATTACAGAGTGTTTGTTGACCACTAAACTGTAGTAAAAACACAAGTCTGGTCTGAGCTTCTCCCCCGGAGAAATGTCAGTCTATAGTGATCAATGATTGGCTCTTGTACTAGTAGGCGGGGCTTCATTCGCTATATTGACCATTACACCTTTATCCATTCAAATCCATATGAGTGACATGTATTGTGTATTCTATAGTCTTTGTTATAACACAGTTCAATGCTTCCATGCCATATAAAACTATTAGTCTCTTTCTAAATCAATCAATAAATGACTGATTTTAGATGATTTGCCCCACTTATTTAGCTAAAATTACTTTTTTTCAGATAAAATTACTAGAAAATCTTCAATAAAGTATCTTTTGCTCACCAAAGCTGAATTTGCTCAATCCACAATACAGTAAAACACTGAGGGAAAAACCAACACTGACCCTCAAACATGTGGCATCCAGTGTTTCTTGTTTACGACTGTGAGATGTCAAACTGTTTCCATGGTCATCAACATCTCCGATTCAAGATGTTCTCTGTTCTCGCTCCCTAAATGTGTGTTTACATGGCCTGGTAGACCAAAGAGCCTGTTGAGTAGGTCACTAGTACAGATCAACTTCTCCTACCCAAACACTGTCCTTTCTACATGAGAAATGGCGCGAGAACTTGGATCATCTTTAAAGGCTAAAAGACAACCTGTTGTGTTCAAAGATTGAAGTTAATGTATGTCAAGTGTCTGGAGAACATCACAGGCCTGGCTTTCTATGTGGCAAATGACCTCAATAAACATCTGGCCAAACAGTGGGAAATGTAGGTTTGTTTAGAGACTCAAAGGTCTCATGAAATTAAAATAACGTGTTTTAGATGTTAGTATCAGTATTGTTAGTTTATTAAGATGTATAAATAAACTAGTATGCTCCAATACACTGACAAAATTCACAGTGTAAAACATATGCTGGATAAGTTTGCGGTTTATTCCGCTGTGGCGACCCCAGATTAATAAAGGGACTAAGCTGAAAAGATAATGAATGAATGAATAAATGTAAGGCTTGTAACTTCCGCTTAAATAGATTTTAGTTTCTCATCAAATCTTGACCAATCAAATGTTCTCTAGTGCCTGACATGCCTTATTTGATGTGCTTAAGCTCAACCACTCAAACTGCCTGATAAAGCAAAACGCTATTGGCTGGTTTACAAAAAAAGGGGAGGTGCTACACCAGTCCTTCTCTTCGTGTTTTGGTTGAGATCACGTCAAACATCGACTAAAAATGCACATTTCAAAGCATTTCAAGGGACCTTTAAACTCTTAAAATTATCAATATAGTATTGTTTTAAGTCATGTTAAGTCGAGTTTAACTAGCATCTGCAGAATTTGGTTTGAAAAAGACTAATTATTTTAATTATTACTTATTTGAACAAAATGATTTTGACTTTTAAAGACACTGTTAACCCGAAAATGAAAATTCACTTATAATTTACTTTTTCCAATCCTATTTGAGATTTGTTATTCTGCTTTTTTTTCTACTATACAAGTCAAGGGTGGGTCAGTCAGTCAGTCAGTCGACAGCAGTCTCTAGTGGATTTACGCGAGAACAGCAAGCACAAATGGCACTTGCAAGAGAAATTCAAGATCTGAAAAAGCATACACAGCGGCCTCTGGTGGACAAAACCTGCAAAGAAACAGCTCCTGGGACGTATTTCGTGCTCTCCAGAAATGTATACAGGGGTATGTATCCATAATGAGCCTGGGTTGGCAAACTAAGTGGAAAATGCAACATCGTTACTGTTTTCTGTAAACCCTAAGTGGCAAGTCATATGACTACTTTGTTTGAAGACTGGGCAGAAACTGCAAATTAAAATTCAACAATGACCTAAAGTGTAGTGAAATGTACAAATTGGAAATAAACCCTTTTTCTTTTTGAAGCTTTGAAACTACAGCTTCTCTTCATTACAAATGTATAGGCAGGGGGAGGGAACAAATACCCCTAGGGTATGAATAATTTCAGGCTTGACTGTTTACAGTATATGGGTAGTTGACAAATAGGCAGTAAAAATTTGTAAAAGATAATTTTTGAAGAGAAAACAGGTCTGTTTATGTACAGTTGTTTGAAGTCTGATCTTTAAGAAAGGGTCATATTAACTTTATCAATTCTTTCCCTTTTTTTCATTATTACTTTTTTACTGAACTTTACCGTAAAAATGTCCCATGGTGTAACATGGTAAAATGTAAGAAAACAACAGCTAATAATAAACGAATAGAGAGCCATTTATCGTCATTGTTGGACATTTATCTTCATATAATGCTATTTTGACTGGTTGGACATTTTCAATAAAAAGGAGTGTCAAACTAAAGCATAACAAAACTTCATTTTATAATGATTCCAAAAAAATAAAAAGGTGCATGTCATGGGCTTCAGTACAATGATCTTGAATCGGGTCCATCAACTAATTAAAGTTTTCAGTGGAATTGCTCATTTTAAATTCGCATACACTGAGCAGCCACTTTATTAGGTACACTTTACTAGTAGCGGATTAGACCCTTTTTGCCTTCAGAACTGCCTTAATCCTTCGTGGCAGATTCAACAAGGTACTGGAAATAATCCTCAGAGAATTTGGTCCATATTGACTTGATCGCATCATGCAGTTGCTGCAGATTTGTCGGCTGCACATCCATGATGCGAATCTCCTATTCCACCACATCCCAAAGGTGCTCTATTGGATTGAGTTCTGGTGACTGGGGAAGCCATTTGAGTAAAGTGAATTCATTATCATGTTTAAGAAACCAGTCTGAGATGTTTCGCTCTTATGACATGGCGTGTGTCCTGTTGGAAGTAGCCATCAGAAGATGGGTACACTGTGGTCATAAAGGGATGGAGATGGTCAGCAACAATATTCAGGTAGGCTGTGGCATTGACACGATGCTCAGTTGGTACTAATGGGCCCAAAGTGTGCGAAGAAAATATTACACCACCAACACCAGCCAGAAGGGTTGATAGAAGGCAGGATGGATCCATGCTTTCATGTTGTTGATGCCAAATTCTGATCGGTGAGTGTACAATAGTGTCACATCAGAGGACATAGATTTCATTGACAAAATAATCATGTTTTAAGATTTTTAAAAATATATGGTAAAAAAATGTTGCTATTTACTAAAATAGCCACTTGTTAAATTAGGTCTGCGGTATTTATGAATGATTTTACAATTTTCTTTTTCAATTATAAGATCTGTAATGTATTGGTGTATGCTTGAAAGAAAGTCTAGTACATTCATTTGGAGATTTGGCTCAAAATTACAAGAGATCTCTTTATTACAAGAGATCTACACAAGACAAAATGTTTAACTATTTACTGCAGTTTAAATGATGACAATATTAATTATATTAAGTTGTATTGTGAAAATGCAACAACTACCCACCAATATATATTTAGATCAACTAAAAATTGTGAAAACATTTTTATTATATGTTGTTCTTTTCCTGCTCTGATTAGTTATATCATGCAGATTGTAGGTCAATTTAAATAGAAACATATGCCAAATGATTAAATGAAAATGTAAATTAAGCCAAAACTTGATAATTAAGATGCCTTAAAAAGCCTTTTTTGCCGAGTATGTAGGTCCCGCCGTCCCAGTCATTCATTATAATAGCATGGAAAAAGTTAAGTTTGTGTGTGTGTGAACTAGTTCTTTCATAAACATCCTTAAAATAGAAGGATAAAACATTCTGGAATGAACAAAAGAAAATGCCATGCATGTAAGCTCCACTGTCCTTACAAAAAGTCAAAGCAGGCCTTCCAAGAATGCGCAAACCCGTCTCTGTGTACAGTACACCAGTCTGTCCCAAACATATAATGCCTTGTAATGACTGGTACTCATGAATCAGTAATGAGTGATGTAGGAAACTGATCTGCTTCGGTCACGTCTGCCTTATAACACACAGAAAAAACATGAAGAAGCAGAAAAAAACGAGCACAGACAGTTTGTTCAGATCTTCACGATATGAAAAATATGGAAGGCATGTCTGACCTGATGCTCCGTCCCGACCAGCGTATGACTGGAGGTAATATGAGTCATGTGTGCATGTGTGCCGCAGCTGAAAGAACTGCTACGGCCCCAAACGCAACCGTAACCTGATGATCCTGAAGTTTGAAAGCCCCTTTAAGCCCCCAAAAGAAGGGACAATTAGGATTGTTGGTCACCCTGGAGTTTCAGGTATTGTCATACGTCTTCCAAAGCACCCTGTTCCCACTTTATATACTCACTTTTAAAATAATAATCTTGATATAATGCATTTATTATGTATACATAGATGTTTTTACATAATAGTTTAAATCCTTATATTATTACTTCTGGTATTTCTTGTGTTATTACTTAATAAGGTTGAGGTTAGGGTCATGTTCATTTCAGTAATTACATTTTTAATTACACCCATTACGCTCAAAGGAATAGTTCAACAAAAATTTTAATTCTACCATCATTTATTAAGCATTTACTTGTTCCAAACCTAAGCCTCTTTGTTCTGTTAAACCCTAAAGAAGATGTTTTGAAATATGTTGGAAACTGGTAACCATTGTCTTCTATTGTATAAGTTTTTTTTCGATGGAAGTCAGATTATATTCTTTTCTGTTCAACAGAATACAGAAACTCATTAGATAACCACTTGGAGGTGTCTAAACAGGGAACAAATATTAAATTTTGGGTTAAATATCCCTTTAAACTGACCTTACAAACTTACTTTCTCACATTCATAGTGTTTTACTATTTAATATGAGCACAATAAGTACATTGCATTTATTTCTTGATGTCAGTACATCATTTTTAAAGCCACATAATATAAATTGCGACCTGAAAACACTTGTGCATGTCCATAGCTGATTCAAAACTGAGTTGAAACAACCCAGCATTAGTAGAGTGTATGCAATTACATGCAGTCAGGTTTTAGAAATGGTCAACTTTTCTGTATGTAGAATACAATAATGAGTCTAATACTTCAAAGAGATCCATTGCAAACATTAAAATCAACAGTTGTTTTATTTTTACCAATGCAAATTACTTTAAAACGTATATGCACTAAGTGTGATATGCATGCAAATGTCATTAAAGTGTCCTACCTCTCTCCTCCTCCTCCTCCTTCGCTCTCTTATGACTTTAGAAAGTTACTCAGATGATGCCTTGATTTTAGGTTTCAATATTCCACTTTTGCTCCAGGGTTTAATCCTGAATTGTGGACCAGTGTGCTCTTGTCAGCGGTGTGAAGCGGCTCCTGTTGTTGGGAAATTGATTGCTGTGGTAGTTTGAGGCAGAAGTGCTCAGTCTGAGAGCCTCCTCTGTGGACGAGCTGCCAAAGGTCCTAAAACCTGACTGCTTCAGGATTTTACGATGTTCTCTGGAAAGCCCAAACCGCTCTTTACTGTGTAACAGATAAGCTGATTTGTACTGCAACACATACAGGAAATAACTGTTAGATTAACTCTTGTGCTATATTGAAAGTCTACTAAAAGTGATACATAAAAATGAACAATTTTAATTGTCAAAGACTGAAAGAAATGCTACGCAAAAAACTATTATTGAACAAAAAATAGGTTTCCTTATACTTCTTGTTAATTTTTCAGCTAAATAATATTAAATTGAGGTGTCACAGAGGCACAGTGGGTAGCACAATCGCCTTGCAGCAAGAAGGTTGCTGGTTCGAGCCCCAGCAAGGTCAGTTGGCATTTCTGCGTGAAGTTTGTTCTCCGTGTTCATGTGGGTTTCCTCTGGGTGCACCCGTTTCCCCCACAGTCCAAATACATGCAGTATAGGTGAATTGAATAAGCTAAATTGGCTGTAGCGTATGTGTGTGAATGCAAGAGTGTTGGGTGTTTCCCAGAGTAGGGTTGCGGCTGGAAGGGTATCCGCTGCGTAAAATATAAGCTTGATAAGTTGGCAGTTCATTCCGCTGTGGCGACCCCAGATTAATAAACGAACTAAGCTGAAAAGAAAATGAATAAATGAACAATATTAAATAGATGTTGTTATATTATTAATAATATGATATTAATTATTGTATTAACTATATAGTTGTTTTATTATTTAATTTAGTTTTTAAGTTTAAAAAAAAAATTGTGTAATTTAAAGTGAAAAAATATATATAATTTGACATTTTCATATGTGCGATAATTCACATTTGATGTTTTTTTATTTTAATATACATTTCTTTTTTTTTTGTTTATAATCATTTATATGGGTTTAAACAAATTTGACTTTCTTTTCTTCCGAATTCCATTTTAATGGTCAAAATACATGTTAGTAAACAAAGACTTTTTTTACACCAAAAATTAGATTTCGGGAACGCTATGAAATTAGTTTTACTTTTTTCTCAAGTTCTGTTATATTTTCTAAAACTCTATTAATATTTAATTGTATCATTTTTATGTAGAGAAGCATACTCAAGAAGAGTAATATTTTTCTGTTGTAATTTCTTCAAGTTAAACCAAACTTTATTTTTGGGAAAAATAAAAATAAAATAAAATAAAAAAGTTATAAAATAAAATAAATAAATAAAATATTTGAATAATATTTTGTTGATTAATATAAACACATTAAAATAAAAACATTACGTGTTCATTTGTTTATTGAAACCATATTAGTTTGATCTTTTATATTTTTAATTTTACCTCAGCTTGTGAAAATGCTATAAAAAAACTGCAAAAAAATGTACCTCCTGGGACATATTTGATGCTCTCCAGAAATGTATATAGGGGTACGCAATCAGAATGAACCCGAGTTAAAACAAAACATGTTTTTTTTAATTTAACCCAGGCTTATTCTGAAAACGTAGCTCTATTTACGTTTCTGGAGTTAATGAATTATTTAGCCAGAGCTACGTATGGCTGCATTTCATCTTTAAAACAAACGCTATGGGGCGGTATGATGACGTTTCCTTTTTACATCTTGTTACCTCTGTATGGATGATTTACCCGCTGTAACCAGTTTGTCCAGTTTGCTTGCCATGTACGGATTACGTACCCCTATATACATTTCTGGAGAGAATCATATATGTCCCAGGAGGTAATATTTTGTGCAGTATTTATTTTTTGCAAAAAAAAAAAACGTCTACCAGACACAGCTGTGTACACTTTCTGTGATCTCAAATTTCTCTCGCAAGTGCCATTAGCGCCTGCTGTTCTCATGCAAATCCACTGTTCCCAAGAGGCGGCTGTCAACGTACCCGCCCACCACCTTCCCTAAACCCAACCAACAGTTTAAATAAGCAATCCAGAAAAAGAAAAGCCCTCGCCTGATTTTTACCACGTTTTCAGATTATACCACATTCTCACCCTGTTATTTACTTCTTTATTTAATTTTTTGGCTTCTGTTTTTGTCTTACCCACTTTCTGGAACCACTCTTTACCAAACTCGAACCCCATATCACTGTGGTCAACTCCTCTCTGCTTCTCAAGTACGTCGGCATACATGTTGAGCTACTGGACAAACTGGTAACAGCAGAAAAATCGTCCACACAGAGGTAAGCAGTCAACTGGAAAGCACGAAAAGAAACGGTATCATACTGCCCTGTAGCATTAGTTTTAAAGATGTAATGCAGCCATACGTACCTCTGGCTACATAATTTACGATCTCCAGAAATATATATATATATAGGGTTACGTTTTCAGAATGAGCCTATGTTGGGTTTTCTATTTAACAAAAGAGGTTGTTAATAAATGATAAAGTTATAAACTAGATTCAGAAGGCTGTGTATTAACATTAGTCAGTTAATGAAGCACACATTTTGTAGTCTAAGTTTAAATTCCATCTGTAGTCTTTTTGTCTATGTGCCAATGTATTTTTTACAACCAAGTTGTATGCATCTGCAGTGGATTGGACTGTAAAAAGTGTTTTAGAATCTAGACTGCTTTAGTGATGTCAGCCAAAAGAAATGTTGCACCAGAGGACAAGAAATGCATTAGTATATGGTTAGTTTTCATTTAAAAAAAAGGTGTTTTAAAAGCAGAATTCAACTCAGGCACATTAACACAACTGAAAGTGTGATGATTCACAGCGCTCACACGGCTTCACAGCACACAGCAGACTAATTCGCAAGTGACTCAGACCTAAAACTTCTACATCTCACACTGTTTTAATCCCAGCTAGTTGATTTGTGTTTGTAGATGAAGGATCGTAAAGAGTGCAAATGCTAACCTCTTAAAATAGCCAGCCGAAGACCAAAACAACACAAAGAGACAACAGCAATCACTGGAATTTCACACATGACACCAGCAGCCACACATCCAGTGTTGTGCATAGACCTGAACTACACTATTAGCAGGTGAAAACACAGAGAAAACAGTTTATAACAGCAGTCCTGATGCTAATCCTTTCAACAGCCAACTGCTATTAATTATATCAGCATCCAAAACAATTTAACACGTTAGCATTCTGGAAAAAGTGCATAAAATACAATATTTTCATATTTTGTACATTAATATTTTGTCCTCTGTGAACCTACACTACATGTAACTGTTTTAAATTGGCACACAAGGGTTAAGAGTAGCTATAATAGGATTTCTTTGAGAAATGTACACCAGCCAATACATTCCACTGCAAGTCAGTCCTTGTTAGTTCTGTGGCATTTTGCAATGTCCAGATTCATCAAGGCTCATTTGCAGTGATGAAGCTGCCCAGCAACACAAGTTTGTTTACATTTTAGCTCCAATCAAAGACTCATAAACATATGTTTTTCCATCTGAAAACGCAATTGCAAAACTGCATTTCAACGCAAGACAAATGGAGGAGGAAAATAAATTGTCAGAAAAAAACACACACAATAAAAATTCAGCAAAACATTTAAATTAATAGTTCACCCAAAACATAAAATGCTGTCATCATTTACTGCCCTTTTACTTGTTCCAAACCTGTTTGAACTTCTTTCTTCTGTTAAACACTAAATAAAATATTTTAAATAAAGCCAGAAACCTGTAATAATTCCATATTATTTCTTTTCCTAATATGAAAGTCATGGCAATGGTTACAGGTTTTGAACATTCTTCAAGTTATCTTCTTTATTAATCAACAGAATAAAGAAACTCTTAAAGGTTTAGAAACAATTTGTGTGTAAATGGGGAGTAAATTGTAATTTTTGGCTGAACTATCCCTTAAAATGTACTTTATCATAAAGATAATGTTTGTTTTGGCAAGAAGTAGTAATAAAATTAACCTTTTTATTGAAAAGAGCAGCGAGTCCTGCTGCTTTCTCATGTTCAGGGAACAGCTAATTTTTCAATTTACCTGAATCAGCAGGATGGAGGTCACAAACAAATGCATTATACATTTTTCTGCTTTTTTCCTTCAGAGTGTAATATAAAGGTTGTTTAATGCTGCAATATTTTTTTGATAGTCTACAGAACAAACCATCGTTATACAATAACTTGCCTATCTACTCTAACCTGCCTATTTATCTTAATTAACCTAGTTAAGCATTTAAATGTCACTTTAAGCTGTATAGAAGTGTCTTGAAAAATATCTAGTTAAACATTAAGTACTGTCATCATGGCAAAGATAAAATAAATCAGTTATTAGAGATGAGGTATTAAAACTATTATGTTTAGAAATGTGTTGAAAAATATTTTTTTCGCTGTTAAACAGAATTTGGGCAACAAAATAAACAGAAGGGCTAATAATTGTGACTTCAACTGTGTGTGTGTATATATATATATATATATATATATATATATATATATATATATATACATTATATATATATAATTTGTATTTGTTTTTCTCCCTTTACTGTATTGCAAATAACCATTTATTTGACATTATTGCTTGAGTGTTATGATTTTCTGTATTGTTTAGTTATGTAATCATCTCACGTGACGTACTAAGTGTTCAAATGAACTCCAGATATACCAACTATCATGTTCGTGATGAAGGCAAGTTGCAGAAACGTGTAGGTGCACATAAGTTCTGTTTTTTAAGATGATAGCCATACACTCACCGGCCACTTTATTAGGTACACCTGTCCAACTGCTTGTTAACGCAACTTTCTAATCAGCCAAACAAATGGCAGCAACATGGTCAACACGATCAGCTGCAGTTCAAACCAAGCATCAGAATGTGGTAGAAGATGATTTTAGTGACTTTGAACGTCCAACAAAAGAGAAAATATCCAATAAGCGGCAGTTCTGTGGGCGCAAATGCTTTGTTGATGCCAGAGGTCAAAGGAGACTGATTCGAGTTGATATAAAGACAACGATAACTCAAATAACCACTCGTTACAACCGAGGTATGCAGAAGAGCATCTCTGAACGCACAACATATCCAACCTTGAGGCGGAT